AAATAAAAAAAAAAGAAAAAGCAGTGTTTCTCTCCTCGGCCAGCTTCGGCTTTCAGAGCGGCTCAGCCGAGCCGAGGCATATGCCTTTGGCTCAACTGAGCCGCTCGGCTAAGTTCGGGAGCTGTATGGGCTTAGTGTTCATGTTGTTCCCACCCTTCTCTATTTCCCCAAAAGGACAATAAATGTTATTACCCTGTGATTACTCTTACCCAAGTTGTCCCTTATATTCATATCTGTGATTAGCTATGTATTATTAGAGATTAGTAAATCCAACAGAGCATTATCTCTAGTTGGTGTTTCCACCATTTGTCCCTTGTCTTGTTGACACTGTACAAAGTGACGGGCTTTTCATTAATGCGTTGATCCACTTGCCCAATCAATATCTGGGTAATTGAAGTCCCCATAATTATAACATGTGCTTGCCTCCCTTCCATTTCTATCTGAGATTAGTTAAAGCTCCTCTTCTTCCCTTATGGTTGGGGGTCTATAGCATATACCTATCAATAATGCACCCTTTTATCACTCATTCTTATCTCTAGCCATAACGACTCTGCACTCCCCCCAGATGTGTTATTGATGTTGTTGCAGAGATTTAGCATCAGATTATTTCTGATGTACATGCATACCCCTCCCCCTTCTCTATCCTTCCGATCTCTACAAAATTCACTGTCAAATCAGGTTTCTGTTATTTCCACAAGGTCATACTCTTCCTCAATTAGTAAAAGTTTTAGATCTTCTATTTTGTTTGTCAGACTTCTAGCATTTGTAAACATGTCTTTCAGTTTTTTTTGCCAGCGTTCAGGTTCTAATCACAATAATTTTTAGCCTTATTATTATCGGTCTGTATTGGCTCACTAAAAACTGCCAGACTCTTTAGTGGATGACGTTAAATTATCTTCCCTCTTATCTGTTATGTTTATTGCCCCCCTTTCTTACTCCTCTCATGTGTTCTCCCCTTTTTCTATGGGGTGCTCTCTCACCTTTTTTGATATTTGTCTGCTGTCTGACAAGGTTGTTTTTTATTTCTCCCCCAGAGCCTAGTTTAAAAGTTCCTCTAGTCTTTTAACAGTTTTTTCTCTTCCAGCAGAGCTACACCCTCCCCATTTAGGTGCAGTCCATCCCTGCTGTAGAACCGGAAGTCGACTGAAAAGTCAACCCAGTTCTCCAAGAACCCAAACCCCTCATGCCTCCACCAATTCTGCAGCAACTTGTTTAGCTCTCACTGTCTCTCTGGTGTGGCTCTTGGTCCTGACAGTATTTTGAAGAATACCACCTTGGAGGTCATATTCCGTAGTCTCTTAACATCGGTCTCTTAAAAAAATTTAGAGGATGCTCCATCTTCCTGTCACTTTGTCATTAGTACAGATGTGTGCCACGACCGCTTGGTCCTCCGCAGCCACACCCAACAATCTGTCCATCCGATCCACAATGTGCCTAACCCGAGGTCTTTGTGACAGATTAGCCTGCCTACCTTCCAGATCATCAAGTCCCCATTTTTTGCTTACATTTCTGTTCCCCTCCACACTGGGGCAGTCACTCCCACACTGGCATCTAGAGGAAGTATACTGTTCCAGCAATGCTACCTCAAAACTGATATCCACAACATCATGAAGCCTTGTATATTTATGGGGATGTACCAACTCTGGACTAGCTTCTCTAACACTCTTCCCCCTACCATATCTTCTAACTGTAACCCAGCTACCAACCTGTGTATCCTGTACTTCCATATTGCCACCCTCCTCTATACTGGCCCCCACCCAGCATCTGATGCGTAAGGTCTAAACTCCTCTCCATGTTGTTAATGCTCCTGATTATTGCCAGTTGGTATAGATCCAGGATCTTGGCTTCCAAACATACAACTAGCTTACATCTTGCATAGCAGTATTTGTCTCGGGGGGTGCTCAAGGAACGCATACATGAAGCAAGATATGCACCAGCAAGCATTACCATTCAAGACGGTCATAACTATTTTTTCTTCAGTTTAAATTGGTTAAATGGCTCTGATTCAGCAGAGAGCATGTCAGATCTATGCAAAGAGACCACTGCTTCTCTACAGAAGCAAGAGTCATAGCATGGGAACAGGCTTTTCTACTCAGGCTGTGATTGATTTTTAAATTCTGTTTTTGGCCACCACCATTGGTGCTCTAAATTCTTTCCATGGATGTTCCAGTCACCAGAATCAAATATCAGTGAATTATTATGGGAAGTTTTGTAAAGCAGACTGCATCGTAGATTTCTACCACCTCTATCCCTCAAACTATTTCTTGAAAAATATTTTAAACTCTCACTGGATACTGCATTTAGGATTATGCATTTAAAGACGTGTTAAAGATGTTTTAACAACAATGGGTGGACCTTGTCCACATTAGGTTCTTGCTATTAAAGTACAAGTTCAGCCATAACTTCTTTCCTTAATTTGGGATAGAGTGGGGTAGGGTTAGGACCCTGTTAGTTTTTTTCAGATCTGTTAGAGAGATTTTCTCTTACTTGTCCTGCTGGCAAAGTGGTATCAGACAGGAAGTGAGATTAACTCTTCAAAAGCATAATGGTCAGGAATAAAAAAAATTTTTGTCAGTTAAGTAAGGGGAAGGTAGAACCTTTGTCACATTTGAATTTATGTCTGTGTCCCTGTGAGATTTCCCCTCACTGGTAAAACAGTTGTCAGCAGGACAGGAAGTAAGGGTAAATCTCTCTAATGGAGCCTGGATATCAGTAAATGTCTAATGTGGGTTCTAATTGTTCCCCATTTTATCTAATGGCATCGTTCCAAAAACATGCACCTACTGGCAGTCTTACTTAAGCAGTCTTCAGCTTTACAAGCTAACGTGGCTCTCTGAGCTGATAAACTAACCACCACAACTTGGTCCAGCTGAATTTAATCAGAAGATCTCTTGGAAAAGGGTGGCAGGGAGAAACAAACATGGTCCTTGAGGTTGGAAATCCACCCCGCCCTGGATTCCCATTGAACCCAACCCCAATACACATTTTGCAAGTAAGAGTTAAAGACTAGTGATGAGCCGAACACCCCCCTGTTTCGAATTTGAACTTTTGAACATGGAAAAAGTTCGAACTTTAATGGCTCGAACGTTAATGGCCATAAAAAGGGTATGGGGATTTGGGTACTGCCCTGGGGGACATGTATAAAAAAAATTACATTTTTAAAGGAGCAGTGATTTTAACATCACTTAAAGGGAAACAATAACAATGATAAATTCCTATAAATATCGGGTCCCCTTAAACTGCCTGTAAAGTGGCACATCTGTACAATGTATAGAACCTGCTGCAGCAAACATGACATTTGTAAATGGGGAAAAAAGACGTGGGTTCCACCCTAAAATTCCCAACTAGAACCTTGATCCAAACACAGGCCTGGCAGGGCAAGAAAGGGGGGGGACGTGTGATGCGGCCCCTCCCCCTTGTGAATGCAGCCCCTCCCCCTTGTGAATGAGTAAGGTTTAGTGGTGAGCACAATGGGATCTGACCACTGTTAGATTCCTTTGTGACCCCAAGAACTAACATTTTCTGTACCTCTTCTGAAATGGCTTTTTTTTTACCTAAGTTTCAGGTAGCTGATAAGGTCTAAGTGGGGTAACTTTGACAAGAGGCTTAGTCACATGGTAAATTGTTAGTTTGGGCAGGTCATTTTGAACACAGCCCCTGATTTTTTTGCAAGAATCACCTCCAGAATTTGAATAGCAGACAGGCTCCCAACATCCTAACCCCAGGTGGTGGTGTTGGTACCTTGGGATCTCTTCCTGCTAAAATATTCTCACTATCCTTCCAGTGCGTTGGTGAATGGAGTATATTTGAAGGAGTCCTCCTTTTACAGGCTGGTAAACCTGGTAGTTGCCATCCCTAATTTTCTTTTTGATCTCTTAGGTGACCTGTCATTTAAAAAAAAAAACTCTCTAAAGTATACACCAAATCTAAGACTTGGCTAAAGGTTCTGATGATAGCAGAACAGTTATAAATGCTTTGCCTCTGATTTGTGGGCTTGCTGCCTATGTTTTTGAATGATAGGCATAACGGCCACTATCCTATCCTGCATCTGAGCAATGTGGTCACTTTTGTAAGGTGTGGCCCCTTGCTCTCATGTCCCTCCTGCTATATCAAGGAGTTTCTGGGAATGTTTATCATACAAACGTTCAAACGGAGAAAACCTAGTGGAGGACTATGGTACTTCCCTTATTAAAAATATTAAGTGTGGTAAAAGGAAGTCTCAGTCTTTTCATCTTTATCATTTTGGAATACTTTTAAGGGTTTTATTAACCCTTTCTACCATCCCATCAGTATTGGGGTGGTACACTGAGGTGCATAGGTGAGTAATTTTCAACGACTGTCACAGCTCCTTATTTACCTTTGACATGAAATTGGTTCCTTGATTTGTCAGAATTACCTTAGGGAAATTGGTACAGGACAACAACTCTTTTGCTATAACTTTAGAGGACATATTTCTGAGAGATATTGCTTCCGGATACCAAGTGGGATAGTCAAGGACTACCAATGTGTGCTGGTGCCGTCTGGCAGATTTCAGCAGTGGCCTTACCAGATACATAGGACTTTCACAAAAGGGATCTCAATTTTAAGCACCATCAGACTTAAAACATGAAGTTGGAGTGCCTGAGGTACCATTTATCACTGTTACGTATTTCCATGCGTTTGCCAAATTTAGATCCCTCAACTGTTTGGTTTCAAAATCTTCCCTGACCAGTAGTATATCTGTTATTTCTGGCACTGGGGTAGTTTCCTTTTATTCCCTAACCATGTGGGACGTTTTAATGTATGTCAGTCAACACCCCCTTCAAATTCAAGCAAAATAATAATCATTTACTTCAGATATATTTTCAGGATTGGTTAAGTTTTTTCCTCAGTTCCTAAAACAGTGGAAAAATACAGTCCTAAACTTAGGTCAGTTCCTGACTAACATGGTTCCCCCTATTTCCTAATAATTGGTTTCCCAAACATGCAGCACATGTACCTGTTTTAGTTTTCTGCCAGTAGTCAACCTTTTCACCCAGCAGCATGCTCCTACAGCAGAAAGAGGAATCGAGAACCCTAAACATCAGTCAGTTCGCATATATAAAGGCCTGTACACAGCTGAGACTAATAACAAGGTCTGGCTTCTAGGTAAAATGTGGACCTAGGAATGGAGGCTTATTCTCGCCCAAATTTATATGATGTCTCTGAGCTGCAGGATTTATTATGAGTTTAAGAAAACAAAAATGTAGCTTTCTCCACATCAGTCATAAACCCTGGATCCCCTCAGCATGTGTAGGTGGAAAATCAAGATGACACATAAACACTTACCACAATCCTGCCAGCCTGCCTCACAATACAAATACTCTCATTGTATTGTTTTAGCTGACTGACGTATTGTAACTTTGTTAAAACATGAAAAGCCTAGGTATAATAACGCATAACTCTCGTTCCTTGTTTTAAGACAGAATATCGCAAACGGTGCTACGGCACATGGATTTCAGGACCACATGTGATGAGGTGAGCACTAAAATGATTTAACTGTTTTGAAATGGCAAACTCTTTAGAATCCCATTTCATTTTGATGGATTCAATGAATACATTTTAGCTTTGTCTTTGTAGTTTGGGTAAAAGTTGGGGGACCAGTGTTTACATTTTAGTTATAACAAAGCTTTTTGGCAACATTTCTATGTAATTTTATATTCCAATTGTGATTTGGGTTTTTCGGTTCCATGTAAAAGTTTGCATTGGGTTACTAGAAAACACTGTAAAATAAGTAAGACATTATTATTTGTAATCTGCAATTTTCATTTCACATCCCAAAGATATTTCTCTAGTGGCCTCCAAAAGAGAGGTAAAATAACAGATTTTGTCGGTTTTGTTAGTATAGTTGTCATTGTTTTATCTTTAACTTTTGCAGCTAATTCCCAAAAGAGGAGCACATGATGCCATTGATGCACCTGTAGTTTGAACTTACCAGAACTATATTATAGTGTGTCATCTTGGGAAAATTGGTGTGAAATTGACAGAAAACTCTTTTAACATGTAATTTGGAGATTAATTCTGCTGGGCACTCATTATACCCTTTTTTCTTTGCAAGAATTGTATTTTATTAATTGTGTTAAATGTGTGTATGTCTATGCTGGGCACTTTCCAGCCAGGCAGCTAAATGGCACTTACACATCAGAAATACTTGGTCTAAAAATAAAAAAACATAACATTGGTGAAAGCTTAAAAGGGTAGTAAATCCTAGTATATGTAATCCCAATCATATATAAATTTGACATGCCATTTACATTCTGCATCTTTAAAAAAAAAAATCCTGGTGATCCTGCCTTGAAGGTCCTTATTTAGGCACTTAATGTTATGGGATGAGAGCACTTAGTCTTGGTCTCCCAATTGTATTCTTGCATTGTCACCCTGTCACATGGGCTTCCAATATGGAATAACAGTGGCTGTATGCCGCCCTGTCACGTGGGCTTCCAGTGAAGAATACAGGTGACTGTTTTACACATATTACAGAGGAATGTTCCTCTGTTATCACCAATAGAAAACCCACCCTAAAAAATACCATGCAACAATTTGCTGCATGTGCATGCATGTAGACAGGAAGTGGCTACGGAAAGACAGAAGGAGTTAATGTAACAAAGTAAGAAAGAAAAGGTCAAATAAATAGGTGAAAAAAAGTATTTTATTAAAAACAAAGTAATTGTTTGTGATAACCAGTGCTCTAGCAAACTAATGTCACTTAGTTAGGGTTAGCATCTACTTAAATATTGGTCCCACTTTCTACAACCCACTTTGATTGTAAAGGATAGTGTGCTGCTGCTGTGCTGCTTGTGATTATTGAATGTCAGTTTCAAAAGATTAGCAATCAAGAATCACAACTTCGAAGAGTACATTTTCTCAATGTCATTAGTTATTTTAAAGCCTAATTGAACTCTCATAAATTATTTCTGTAATGCAGCAAGGCTGCACATACAAAAATAAATCTGCTGTTCTTTTACTGTACTGCAGGAGGGTTAACATACCCCGAGATGGCATAATTTAGGAGAATTGGACTGTGGCTCAGCAGGACAGAAACACTCCCACTGCTAATCAACAGTACTCTTACTTCCTATGTTCTATATTTTATCATTTGGTAATTTTCTCCTGTAAATATGTAATTTATATACCAAAATGTGATTAGGTGTGGCATTTTTTTTTCCATTAAATAGATGTTTAGCAACGGAAGATATTGCTTTTTATTGAATCAGTGTTTTTTTTTTATCTCAGGCATACATTTATCTCTGCCCAAATTGGCTTAATTTTCTATTCACCCCAGTAGACACCCCGTAGAACCTCAGAATTTAAGCCTGTCAGAAGAAGTAAGAACTTTTGGGGCCCAATCACACCAGCCCACTTGCATTATGCTCCGTATAACACTCACATGCTCACATAAATCCAAATGAAACAACTATCCATTTCCCAGCAAAGTATTTCTTTACATTTTGCCCAAACACTTGTAGTCCTTATATTTCTCAACAGCTGGCTTCAACCCTTTCAGCTCAGCTTTCCTGAACTTACTGTCCAGTACAAGCAGGAAGGAGCAATGGGGAGCAGGGGGGTGGCTTGTCCTTCTGTGCCTGTGTTTTTGTGAAGATAAGTGTATGTATAAAGTCACTCGCACTCCAATAGAATTTCAAGTCAAAAACGGTTTATTGACTCGTTTGCTATCGCATCATATAGCAGTTCCTTCTTCAGGCAAACCGTTTTTGACTTTAAATTCTATTAGAGTGCGAGTGACTTTATACATACACTTATCTTGGATTGCAGAGGCATCTGCAGTCCCTTTGGCACCCACCCAACTCTAAGGGTATTATTCGGTCAGGAGTGCGATGGGTATACTGGATTTTGTGTTTTTGTGAAGGCACACACAGCTTACTAGCACACATAATGGTGGCCCCATAAAACCATGCAAGGGAAAAGAGCCACCCTAAAACAGGATATCAGGGCCTGTGCTCAGTGGACCAGCGGATTCTGTAGGAAGCTAAAACTTCAATGCATTGCAATGATGTAAACAGGCTCCGTAGAAAGGAATTTTCCTCTGTAGGTAATGCATTCCACCCAACCTTATTCAATGAGAAAGAGGGACATCTTTTAGCACCAAATATGTAGGCAACTGACATATCCCTTTCATGTCCCCATCCCCAATTACACATATAATTTATACTCAAATAATGATTGGTTAAACCCAATAGTTATTTTTTTCCACAACAACTTAATTGTATTCTTTCTTTCTATATAACAAATACAATAATGTAGTGGTATTATTATTGGAGGTGTGTACTTTAGACAATAAAAAAGGGCAACTAACGAGAAAAGAGTTACCAAGGAATTTTATTTCATAAAAGGGGACATCCCTCCAGTTGAGGGGCAGTGGAAATTTGCATAATGCCTTTTTCAGGTGGAAAATGCATAGATATGAATAGGCCCATATCAGTGTTAAACATTATGGTTAAAATCTGGATAATTTAATGAAGGGTTTCAAAATGAATGTGTGCAGATCTGATTAAAGCACAGCATCTGCATTTAGATTTATTTAGATGTAATCAAAATGTGTCACACATGGAAGAAATTACTGAAAATAGAAATTCAGATGACCTTTCAACAGATTTTTACTTTGCATTCATTTGTGTATTATACTTCCCATTATTAAATCTCTTAGAGAAGAGGAACCTATGATATATTATTCCTGTAAAACAGTTTACATTAGGAAGTAGTCTGGCATCCTTCTTCAATGCTAAAACTAAGTTGTTTGGCCACAAGCCTGTAGGCTTTAGCGCAAAAAATGATTTAGATTCTTCGTGATCACAGGAGTTGGATGTGTTCAGCACTTTTCCCTAATATGATGCTTTCTGCATATCTCTGCGTTTGGTTGGTCTTTTTTTTTATAGAATGTATCTTTAAGTATAGGTATACTATGAGACAACAATTTAAAAAAATATATCAGATGATTGAAAAACTATTTTGAGTTTCATAGTAATTTTCAAAAATCCAGTATGAAGAGTTTATTGTGACATTCTGGATTAAAGCAGGCAATGAGCAATTGTCTATGAAACATAATGATCTACTCAAGATGTATAGGGGAAAAGCCTGTATCAATATCCTTTGGTGTGTGTGTGTGTGTGTGTGTATGTATATGTACTGTATGTGTGTGTGTATGTGTATATATGTGTGTATGTGTATATATGTGTGTATGTGTATATATGTATGTGTGTGTGTATATGTGTATGTGTGTGTGTATATGTGTATGTGTGTGTATATATGTGTGTATGTGTGTGTATATATGTGTGTATGTGTGTGTATATATGTGTGTATGTGTGTGTGTACATGTGTGTATGTGTGTGTATATATATGTGTGTATGTATATACACACACCACTATAATTGTATAATGTACAGCTAGAGTGGCGAAGCTAGACATTCCTTCACCCGGGGTAAAAACTCGAGTTGCTTCCCCCCAGGAGAAGTTCCCCCTGCCACCACCCCAAACTTCTGGGCTCTATTCTTCTTTTGTTGCGCTGGCGCCCCTCTTGGTCCACTGCACAGGTGAGGCGTCAACTCATCTCATTCTCCAGTGCTGCTTTGGTATTTTAGAAACAGCTTCTGGGCTTGCTTCTATTTTCTTGGCGTTGCCCCTTCTAATCTGTCATAGAGGAGTGACTTGAATTAAGTGATTTCAAGCCTCACATCCATGGTGGATCAGGAAGGGTGCCACCACACTAAAAGATGAGAACACAGAAGTGGGTATAAAGACACTGTTCCACCACGGAGGCCCATTACGCAGCAATACATTATAGAGCAGTGCAAAATACCAACAGCTATAGAGCACTACAAATCCCAGCAACATATTGTACATCAATGCAGAATACCACCGGCTATGGAGTGCTTAAAATCCCAGCACGACATTATACAGCAATGCAGAATACCACCAGCTATAGAGGACTACAAATCCCAAAAATGCATTATACAGCAATGCAGAATAATATGAAGCTTCATACACTGTGTTGCTTCGGGGTGGTGGCCTGATGTCAGTAGTAATGCAGAGGTCAGTGGTGTTAGGCAGAGTGCAGAGATCACTGATGTAATGCAGAGGTCAGTAGTGTAACGCAGAGTGCAGAAGTCAGTAGTGTAATGCAGAGGTCAGCATTGTGACCCAGAGTGCATAGGTCAATGGTGTAACGCAGAGTGCAGAGGTCAGTAGTGTGATGCACAGTGCAGAGGTCAGTGGTGTAATGCAGAGTGATGAAGTCAGTGGTGTAACGCACAGTGTAGAGGCCAGCGGTGGGATGCAGATGTCAGCAGTGTAATGCAGAGGTCAGTGGTATAATGCAGAGTACAGAGGTCAGTGGTATAACACAGAGTACAGAGGTCAGTAATAACGCAAAGTACAGAAGTCAGCAGTGTGGTGCAGAGTACAGAGGTCAAAGGTGTAACATGGAAAGAACAAACACTTACAGTGCACATAGTTGATCTATT